CAACAGAATGTTATATACTACATTCAGTTTAAATGGTTTCAAAATTAAACAAACACTAAGGATACATGTCCATTTAAGCTGATTCTATCTGAACAGAAAATATGATTTTATTACGATCTCATCTGAAATAGTAAATAGTTCTTAGCAAGTTTCACATGAAACTTATATATAAAGCTCACATATGAAATGGAAACAAATGCAAGCTCCTGTAGTTATAACAAGAGTATATAACCACTATGAACAGCTATTTATAAATATGTATAAGTCTGGAGGGATCTACCAGATCATATCAAACAGGTTGATACTGAGATGGGTTTATTCTAAGGTTAAATACAACTTAAGAGTTAAATTCAAACATAGTAGGCCTCAAGTGGTAAACCTTACAATTTAAATACAAATCCAACTGTTCTTACATCTTAGTAAAATTAATCTAATTGCTAAGAGATGTAAATAAAATTGAACATTATGACCCTGCAGTTTCCAGTGGTATCAAATACCATTTCACAAAAAATCCACTTTTAATCTAAGCTAGTAACACAGGACACATTTTCATGATATTTATACAAAATCAAACAAAATTAATCAGATCTGTACATGTCTTTCATGTTACCAAATATCACTGAAGACAACAGGTTTCATCTTTATGATATCAACTAAATTCTATACATGTTTTATGTGTTCAAACTTTCCCGAACGAAATAATACAGAAAAGATCATGAAAACTTAAGAAAGACATATTTGGCATAAAGTCTCTCCTATTTGTTTTTCAGTTCATTGAAAATGAAGAAAACAATTAATTCACTTGTAAATGAATCAAAGCCTGAGTGTGAATCAGAGTTTGAGCATTACAGTATTTTTTTGTTTCTGGATCAAGATGTTAAAGAATACTCCTTTATATGTTAAAACAAGGCCACTTATGACAAACACCAATAAACCTTAAAATTAGACCAATTCTGTTTAAATAATGTGTTAGTGAGAAATACTCCTGAAATACAACCCTAACATATACAACCCAAGACTTTCTATAAAAAACACATTTTACTTAAATTTCTACTCTTAAACTTTCATCGAAAGTTCTGACAACTCCAGGTGATATCAATAGTTTAAACTACTGGACTGAAACATATACAAGTATAAGATTTGTTCTGTAGCTACTACCAAACTGACCTTAAAAGACCCAGCACACTGCTTTCAACCATCATATTTTATCTGGTATGTTATGAGAAATTTTTTACACAAATCCATTACCAACGTTTTTCTGTAACAAATACAGACAAGATGTCCTTTTCCTTGTAACATTTAAAAAGCACTATGAAACATTGTCTACAAACTTACTTCTTATTAACAAACAATATGACAATATAAAGTTGTATAAGGGAGGCAACTCAACATGATATCAACAGTTTCAACTACTGGACTGAAACATATACCAGCATAAGATTTGATGTTCTGAAGCTGAATCGAAATTGATGTTAAAAGACCCAGCACACTGGTTTTCATTATGATATTCTTATCCAATATATTATGAGAAATTAAATGACCATTATTTTTCTGTTATGACAAACAAAAACCAGATATTCTTTTTCCTAAAACACTTCCAAAGCACTATGAAATATGAGAAAGTAAAAACAAACATGAAAAAATAAACTTTGACAAAGCATTTGGCAATTTTCTTAACATTTTCAACAAAAAGTCAATTTCACAAAAATATGAAGAATCTCACATACTTAATGGTAACTAGTTGGCAGATTTTAAGTCAGGAATTAAAGCAATATACCACTAACTATAAGGAATCTTTTAAATACAGCGTCCATGTTGCTTTCTGTTTTATTTCAATTTCAATAAATAAAAGGTATGAATTATAAAAAAATTCTCCATCTCTGTTCTTTAAGTTCATCAATACATGTGTTTTGATAATCAAGCATAAAATTAAAATCAGCATGATTACAATGATATGATACAAAGCAAAGAACAACTTTGCTGTACAAGTTGTAGGCAATTTCATTAACAGATCTAATTCAGGAAGGAAAAAAGAAATATAAGTAAAATGTAAAAGTATTAAGATGTTAACTTTGTCAAACATTATCCCTTCATCTTCTGCGTGACACCTACTTCCATCTTACAGTTCACAAGCTAAGTGCATACATCTAGATGTCTCTATATGTATGTACAAGGCAAAGGCACAAGCATGGTTAAATCCAATATATCATTGTGATTTTCAACAAGTTGCATTGTGTAACAAAAGTTCAACTAGATCAAACAGAAGGTATGGCTAGCATAGTAAAAAAATCTTTTGACAAAATTATGCTAATAGATACCAAACACGTTCCTGAATCGAGTATCAAAAAATCCTGAATATTTCCTAAGAAATGAAAATCAATATGAACAATTGTCAAAAAAGGACCAATATTACAGTTGTTGATGATAACATAAACACAATATAACAGCTATGTACAGTAGTAAGCCAGGGACATGATGGTCATCAACACTACACACAATGTGATGACAAGCCAGCAACACTGAAGGCCACTACTACACATGATGTGATGACCAGTCAGCATCAATGAAGGTCAATACACACATTGTAATGACAAGCCAGCGACACTGAAGGTCAATACACATGATGTGATGACCTGACAAATGGCAGTCACTTCACACAATGTGATGACCAGACAAATGAAGGTCAATACACATGATGTGATGACCAGACAAATGGAAGTCACTTCACACATGTGATATGACTGTGACCTTTTGATTGCTAGTATGAATAACATATGATAATGGCTTATTAGAGTTGCTGACAGCATACAGTACTGTAAGTACAACTCTGTGATGTTTCTACTAAATATAGCAATATGACATTATGTGCATGACTAGGATTATACAATGAACGCTAGGAACACTAAAAGATAAAATGATATAATATGTTACATTATACAGTCCAACATAAAATCTTGCACTGGCTACTGATACAATGTATCATTCAAAAATAGTCCTTCTCTACTGCAGCCAGTATGTGTCCATATAACCAACCAGAAAACACTCCACTGGAAAAATGTATACTTGTCACAACCAGGGGATAGGTATTGGTGGGACCATAGGGTGGGGTGACATGGGGACAAAATCCCACAGCCTCAATTACATTCTTAGCAGCCATCCCCCTCCATAGCTCAAATAATTATTTCCCTCTCTTGAGAAAAAATGTTATAAATTATTCCAAATTAATTTTGGTGATTGTATGTATGCCCTCAGCAGTGGCTGACTGTTAGTAAGAAAGGACAACAACAACAAATGTTGACCTATACTCTATCTACCCGTAAGGAACAACTCTTAAAGGTCAATATGAAAGCAGATAGAGTATATCAAGGGAGGTAATCAGCTTTACTCACAGCAATCTTGGAGTTCATTGTGCGACCTTGTGTGTCCGTCACATCACATCATAGTTGGTAAAACACAGAAAAACCAGCACTGATTTTCAAATGTTCACAGAAATCTCTCCCCAAATTTTTACCGCAAACTTTTCCTATCAAAATAAATTAATTTTCACATAAAACGTTGACAAGGGACAACTCTATGATTATTTGCCTTCCTCATGAAGTCCTTTCGAAAGCCTGATAATGATCTGGTATTACGTTGTTGTCTGCTGTCATTTTTACATGTATATACTTAATAAAATTGGGAAACATATCAAAAAGTTTTAATCCAAATTAAGAAAAGATTATTTGTATAATAATTGATTTTCAATGTCTTCATGAATTTTTCAGACAAACTTTTCTTTTCAAGGTCAACACTTTTCGTCTGAACACAGGACAACACCTCAGGAGAAATTCTTCTGATTTAGGTACAAACCACTTTGATAACCTTTGAACTATAAATGGTAAATTTGATTCAGTAGGAAACACTATGTGTTCATGAAGACTGAAAAACCTACAGTTGTAATGCTGAGTACCTTATTAGCATAAAACCATTAGCAGAGTATTTCAAAGTAATCACTTATTTGAAAAGAGGTCATCATTAGCATGAGAGAAAAATCTTATTATCATACAAAAATTCTATTCACTTCATCAAAAATTAAACATTAGGATAAGACCAATTTTCCCACGCAGCTTGTGCCCTAGCTGAGAATCTCTTTAGCATGAACTATCATCTTATCTGGATCACCGAAGGCTAGATAAATACACTGTTGAATTCTAATAGTCATTCTAATTTTTCCAAGTCTGCTAAACCGAAATTTGAAAACATAAAACCTCTTGGTGAAATATCAGGTAAACTCTGATCAAAGCCACCGAGAAAAAATTGTTTAAGGTGTCTAACAAACAAGCAATGATAAACAATTCAACAGGCTGCCTATCAACAACACTGAGTTTTCAAACAAGCTGATCTTTTTTGAATTGCAACGCTTACATCAAATTTACATATAAAATTCATTCTGTGAAAAAGCAGCAGAAAATTAAATCTTTATTCACTTTGCACAAGCCGCGTCCCATCAGGACAGCTGGTTCCATAGCAACACCAAATGGTAATGATTTTACTAAATTCTGAAGTCAATGTTGATTAAATCCACAAAGTCCACACAACAATCACATCACAGTTGACAGGTAAAATTGCTCCGGTGAAGACCTTCACACAGGTTATCAAGTTGAAATATTTTGAATAATCTGTGGACTCACAAGAGATGTATATATTAATACCCACACATTCTAGATATATTATATGGCGTTCGATATAACCGTTACTGTCCTCTTTGCTGTTCATTTAACGTCATTATATAAGACACTACATTCCTGTGCAGTCTATACAAGCAGTGAGTCGCTGGCACTTTCTTTCAGCAACAGTCTGCGGAGGGAGATTTATATTTCAATATCACCAGCAGTCAAATCAGGTCAGTGCTGGCTTCTGGATTAATTGATTCTGAAGAGAATTCTAATAAAAATTGTTTTTTTTTGTTTTCTGCATTTTTTTTAATTACTATAAAATTGCTTACAATGAAAAATCTCTCACTAAAGAAAATTTTAATTTCAACTCTAAACTGATATAAAAAAAAATTATCAAAAACTTTTAAACCTCTGTTTTCTTACAAACATTTTTTGGAAATTCATTCAAATTTTTTTTAAGTTCAATCAGTTCATAAACAATAAACAAATTTTTATTAAAAATAATCATCAGGTTTGACATTTTCTCTCCTCAGATATCAGGAAAATATCCTCGCCTTTACTCTCTTCACTTATACCATATATTCAATGAAACAGGAGAAATATTGGATGATCTGCCTCAGTAAATTCTTGTCCATCCAGTCCATGAAGCGATCCACAGAAAATGCTGTCATCACCATGAATATAAGCTGAGTGGCCATTCACTTACAGAACAGATCCAAGTTATTATGACAAGAGATATGAATAGCCATTCAGGAAACAGAACAGATTCAGCTGGTAATAAGTATTAAAATGGCCACACTAGGTCACATGGCTAGAGTTTAAACCAATCAGAGGAGGACACACTTGTGATTTTTCGTTCTAATTGGTTGAGGTTGTAGGACTGCTCGGCACGCTTCATCAAAGACCTGTCAATTACACAAACAAATAGTTTACAAAATATCTCATCATTTCAAAAATATTAGATATATCTTCATAATGCTATTCAAGTTATCTCCCTTTAATTTCACTGCAAGAGCTTCCCTTGAACCAATTCAAATTCAAATTTCAAATCCAGGAATGAAAGCTCTGAAGATTACATCTCTTTTTACTTCAAGAAATCATAAACCAAACCGAAATCAAAGTACTGAGGATACTCAAAGACGCTGTGTATGATGTGTATTGCATAAAGAAATAAAGAAAGTGGTTTGTCAATATGGCATGGCATATGAACTTTAGTGATTTTTCATGCCGACATATATATATATATATAGGAAAGTTCAAGACATACAGTCATGATAAAATCATCATATGATCATTTTGGTGACTAAAGTGTGATTGGAAAGGTAATTACTGATCATGTCCAGTCAAGCATGACTCCGAATTCTCATAAATAGTTCAATATTTTCTTGTGTTCACAGGGATGGGTGGAGATTTCAACATTGATGATCAGTTATTATAACTGGCTAGTAACCAATCAATTACCAGCTTGTTTATCCATTTAACTGATTTTTGTTACTCTTAAAAAGTACATTACACAACATTGAATCTGTTCTTTGCTTGTTTCAGCACGGCACACTATGAGTTCTCAAATACAAAGTGTATATCTTAACATGATGAGTACAACTTATGCATGTACTAGAAGTTGTAGAAATTGGAGGTCACCTTTCTAGCCTCGGCTGGTGAGGATTTCTTTTTAATCTATTGGTAGAGTGTCTGACTAGAGACTAAAGGGGACACTATAGCTTCACTAAATCGTTGGTATTGGTGGAGATGAAAACCAACAACAACAACCCAACATTAAAAAGATGTTCGGAAGTTGTTCTGATAGACAGCTTGAAGTTCTTGACATGATTATTGTGACATATTGTCTAATAACATGTTATAAGCACCTGGATTACAATACATATACATACATGGGTGCAATTTGTACACTTCTGTATATCTCATCAACACGCCTGTATCAAATAAAAGTACCAGTACATTATAGACACAACTTTACATCAGAAAAACACATAACACCATTAACACACCTGCACACAATAAACACACCTGTACATCACTTATACACACCTGTACACCATAAACACACCTGTACACCATAAACACACATGTACATCATAAACATATCTGTACATCATTTATACACACTTGTACATCACATATACATACTGTACATCACATAAACACACCTGTAGACCATAAACACACCTGATTACCATAAACACACCTGTACACCATAAACACACAAGTACATCATAAACATACATGTACATCATTTAAACACACCTGTACATCACATATACACACCTGTATATCACTTATACATACATGTACATCACTTATACACACCTGTGCATCACTTACACACATGTACATCATAAACATACCTGTACATCACTTATACACACCCGTACATCACTTATACATATCTGTATATCACTAATACACACCTGTACATCACTTATACACACCTGTACATCACTTATACACACCTGTACATCACTTATACATACCGGTATATCAATAATACACACCTATACATCACTTATACATACCTGTACATCACTAATACACACCTATACATCACTTATACACACCTGTATATCACTAATACACATCTGGACATCACTTATACACACCTGTATATCACTAATACACATCTGGACATCACTTACACACACCTGTATATCACTTATACACACCTGTATATCACTAATACACATCTGGACATCACTTACACACACCTGTATTTCACTTATACACACCTGTATATCACTAATACACATCTGGACATCACTTACACACACCTGTATATCACTTATACACACCTGTATATCACTAATACACATCTGGACATCACTTACACACACCTGTATATCACTTATACACACCTGTATATCACTAATACACATCTGGACATCACTTACACACACCTGTACATCATCTAATACATGACATTGTTTTATGGTAACACACTATACCTGCTTTAATCCACGTTGCGTTAGAGCTGAGCATTCCATATACTTGACAGCGTGGATTTTATTGGCCAGTTTGATGCCATGTTCCCGTTTCACAGGTTGTAAACCCTGAGATGCCAGCTGTCCAATGGCGTCCTTGTTTTCACGAAGATCTATTTTTGTACCTAGAAAACAAGACAATTGTTATTTTCACACATACAGAACAAATATTGCTATTTAAAGCTGAGCTTCCAAATAAGGCCATCGTATAATCTCGCTATTTCATCCTTGTAACAGAACAAATTTTTCTTTGCTATATTAAGTACTTTTAACAATGGTTATATCATTTGATTACAGAAAGCATTGAAAATACTAATTTTTAATTTTCAGCATAAATCACGATTTCACAAACTAGACATGTTCGATGGGAAAAGATCAAAACTGCTTTAGGTGTTGTAGGGTTACATATGAACTGCATGGTGCTTAATACACTTCTAGTCACAACAGGATGTTAGATACATTGTCCATATGACCCACATTATCAGTAAGCTGATTACAAAGGATTGATGATTATTGATGAAACCGCTGACAGGCTGTCAATTGTAACAGATTTTTGAGATATGTACTGAGCATTAGAGTCACAAGATTGTACAAAACACACCTGTGTAAATATGTGCTAAGAGTAGAGTCAACACCTTGGAGGTGTCAAGGTTATTCACCTTTTGCCTGGGTACCCAAAGGTATACAGGGGATTGATGAGAAGGGGTGAACTTAAATATATCAGAATAAAATCCAACAGACTACAGGCGGGTTCTTCCATTTGACAAACCGCCAAATAAATAATGGAAGAACCTGCCTCTAGTCTGTTGGATTGAAAACTGAGTAAAGATACATTAGTGACAAACAATGAAATGCACTGCATTCAATATCAATTTCAACTTTTCTAGGATTCATACGCAATGCTAAGGGCCTGAATTGTTCAGGCATAGGAGAGAACAGAGGAAAATGGAAACTGGACAAAATAGATATTAACATGAGATCCAAGCCAGATCTTGGTGCCAACCATTGTTTGATCAAAAAGAGACCAAGAAATAGTGATAGCAAAAATTAATTACAGACCAACAGACGGACGACATACCACGGATGTGTGACAATTTGAATAGCCCACCATCTAACCACGGTGGGCTAAAAACCAACTAACAGCTAGTTTGCATTATGATTTTGAAAAGATATCTTCTCTGCTTGTTGACAAACATTCCGTCATATATACAACACATTACCGACTAAAAGTACAGGAGCATCAGGACAGTGATGCTTAACCTCCGGATTCCACTTCGTCGTCACATTTTCATAAGAGGAAGGACTCACAACACTAAAGCAGATCAAGAAGACGTCCGTCTGAAACAATTTAAAACAAACAGTGTCTCATTAGGTCAAACATCGCAGATAACACAAATATGTGATAAAATCAAAGGTTGAAATGTACATCATAAATGTAAATTTGTAGAGGAAAAATTAACCATAAGAAAAATGTAACTGTATTAATATGTTAGTGAGATGTAAATGTACACATGTGGCCTGAAGGTGTGATCTTAACATACACACCTGTGAATAAAATTACAAATGCACACATCTGATAAGAAATGTCTGTAAATGTATGTTGTATGTACATACCAAGGAGATGTTATAAATAGGAGGTTGAAGGGATAAAGAAATGTAAATACCAAGGGGGATAAGGGGTTTAAGGAATGTAAACATCAAGGTGGTAGGGGATGAGAGCATTCAAAAATGTACACACCAAGGGTATAGGAGCATTCATTAAGGAATATACATACCAAGGGGGTAGAAAGATGAGGGCGTTCAGGATTGTACACACCAAGGGAATAGGCTGATAAGGCATTAAGGAATATACACACCAAGGAGGTAGGAGGGATGCGGGAATTTAAGAATGACAAACCATTACCAAGCGGGTAAGGGGGATATAGTGATTAAGGAATGTACCCCACAACATTCTCGCACCTCAGTCAGGGATATATCTTGTAATAACCCATCCTAGATTTTCAATGTTAGGCTTAATTGGGATTGTGTTACAGGAACTTAGACCCAGATACCCTGATGTCTCAGTTACAGGAAACAGATTTTATAAAGGTGGTATTAGGGGGATGTGGGGATTATATCATATACACACCAAGGGAATAGGGGGTGTGTGGGGATTAATGTATCTACACACCAAGGGGATAGGGGGATGTGGGGATTAAAGAATGTACACACCAAGGAGGTAGGGTGGAGGAGGGCATTAAGGAATGTACACACCAAGGGGATAGGGGGGATGAGGGCATTAAGGAACGTACACACCAAGGGGATAGGGGGGATGAGGGCATTAAGGTGATGAGGGCATTAAGGAATGTACACACCAAGGGGATAGGGAGGATGAGGGCATAAACGAATGTACACACCAAGGGGATAGGGGGGATGTGGGGATTAAAGAATGTACACACCAAGGAGGTAGGGTGGATGAGGGCATTAAGGAATGTACACACCAAGGGGATAGGGGGGATGAGGGCATTAAGGAATGTACACACCAAGGGGATAGGGGGGATGAGGGCATTAAGGTGATGAGGGCATTAAGGAATGTACACACCAAGGGGATAGGGAGGATGAGGGCATAAACGAATGTACACATCAAGGGGATAGGGGGATGTGGGGATTAAAGAATGTACACATCAAGGAGGTAGGGTGGATGAGGGCATTAAGGAATGTACACACCAAGGGGATAGGGGGGATGAGGGCATTAAGGAATGTACACACCAAGGGGATAGGGGGGATGAGGGCATTAAGGTGATGAGGGCATTAAGGAATGTACACACCAAGGGGATAGGGAGGATGAGGGCATAAACGAATGTACACACCAAGGAGATAGGGGGGATGAGGGGATTAAGGAATGTACACACCAAGGGGATAGGGGCGATGAGGGCATTAAGGAATGTACTCACCAAGGGGATAGGAGGGATGAGGGGATTAAGGAATATACACACCAAGGGGATAGGAGGGATAAGGGGATTAAGGAATGTACACACCAAGGGGATAGGGTGGATGAGGGCATTAAGAAAAGGACACACCAAGGAGGTAGGGGGGATGAGGGCATTAAGGAATGTACACACCAAGGGGATAGGGGAGGATGAGGGGATTAAGGAATATACACACCAAGGGGATAGGGGGGATGAGGGCATTAAGGAATGTACACACCAAGGGGATAGGGTGGATGAGGGCATTAAGAAATGTACACACCAAGGGGATAGGGTGGATGAGGGCATTAAGAAATGTACACACCAAGGGGATAGGGGGGATAAGGGGATTAAGGAATGTACACACCAAGGGGATAGGGGGGGATGAGGGCATTAAGGAATGTACACACCAAGGGGATAGGGGAGGATGAGGGGATTAAGGAATATACACACCAAGGGGATAGGGGGGATGAGGGGATTAAGGAATGTACACACCAAGGGGATAGGGTGGATGAGGGCATTAAGAAATGTACACACCAAGGGGATAGGGTGGATGAGGGCATTAAGAAATGTACACACCAAGGGGATAGGGGGGGGATGAGGGGATTAAGGAATGTACACACCAAGGGGATAGGGGGGGATGAGGGCATTAAGGAATGTACACACCAAGGGGATAGGGGGGATGAGGGGAATAAGGAATATACACACCAAGGGGATGGGGGGATGAGGGGATTAAGGAATGTACACACCAAGGGGATAGGGTGGATGAGGGCATTAAGAAATGTACACACCAAGGGGATAGGGGAGATAAGGGGATTAAGGAATGTACACACCAAGGGGATAGGGGGGATGAGGGGTTAAGGAATATACACACCAAGGGGATAGGGGGGATGAGGGGATTAAGGAATATACACACCAAGGGGATAGGGTGGATGAGGGCATTAAGAAATGTACACACCAAGGGGATAGGGTGGATGAGGGCATTAAGTAATGTACACATCAAGGGGATGGGGGGGATGAGGGGATTAAGGAATGTACACACCAAGGGGATAGGGGGGATGAGGGGATTAAGGAATATACACACCAAGGGGATAGGGGGGATGAGGGCATTAAGAAATGTACACACCAAGGGGATAGGGGGGATGAGGGGATTAAGGAATGTACACACCAAGGGGATAGGGTGGATGAGGGCATTAAGAAATGTACACACCAAGGGGATGGGGGGGATGAGGGGATTAAGGAATGTACACATTAAGGGGATAGGGTGGATGAGGGCATTAAGAAATGTACACACCAAGGGGATAGGGTGGATGAGGGCATTAAGAAATGTACACACCAAGGGGATAGGAGGGATAAGGGGATTAAGGAATGTACACACCAAGGGGATAGGGTGGATGACGGGATTAAGGAATGTACACACCAAGGGGATAGGGTGGATGAGGGCATTAAGAAATGTACACACCAAGGGGATAGGGGGGGATGAGGGTATTAAGGAATGTACATACCATGGGAACTGAGATAGGGATAAGAATGATCCTATCAATGTAGACACTTTCATGTGAAATTATACATAAACAAACCTGTGGGTAGGAAAGTGGCCGAAGTCTATCATAATCTTCTTGACCAGCAGTATCCCACAGCCCAAGACTGACTGGAACGCCATCCACCATCATATTAGCTGTGTAGTTATCAAACCTGTAAACATTTCATTTTTACTAATTACATACTTATTCTGAGTATTTTTATCTGTACATCAACAAAATCAACTTCAACCATTCTGCTTTCTGATCAGTCTAAAAATAGACAAGGCCCTACTATAAACTAAGATCCAGTCAGTACAGGGCTCTCAAACCCCATTTTGGGACAGGGGCTCGGGGCCCAGGGCCCTTAGAATTGGGAAAAATAATGGTGTTTTCCTTAGAATTGGGAAAACTTGGGGTCTAAATTGGGGAAAAAAAGATATTATTTTGCATTGGGAATGGGGCCAAATATCGGCCTCAAATCTGGAAGATCGTGAGCCCTGCAGTACTTCTCATATATCTGCCATTTTGTAGGACACAGCCTAAGACAAAGGGGAACCTACATATTACAGAAATCTAGTACTTTTCAAGAAAAAGAAATAACAAAGTTTAATCATCAAATCTATTATGGCCACAAATCAGCCATTTTGTTTTTCAGATCAAACCCAGAACAACCAGTGACCAAGATAAAGCTGAAACAAAACACTTCTCCAGAAAAAGTGATTGATTTCTAATCAAGCTTTAATGGTGGAAGTACAGAATAGCCATCTGACAGTCATGTATTCCATTTTATTCTGAACAGCCTGAAAATCAAAACTGAATTGCTAGAGTTCAAGAGGACACATCAAATTTGAGACACTTGTCCCTAATTGCCTCTGGGCAGCATACAGTAGGAATAGGATACCCTGCCTCAAAATCACCAAGGCTGTTCACAGGACAACAAATCTGGCAGATAAATAATAGGGAAAAAGTGACCATGCCTTAAAATCACCAAGGCCTTTCACAGGACAATAAATCTGGCAGATAAATAATAGGGAATATGTGACCATGCCTTAAAATCACCGAGGCTGTTCACGATAACCACAGCAAACAAACAGCATCTGAAATCTGTAATCTGCCAATTCAATATAACACAAAAGATGTTTGTTTTGAAAGAAAAAAACAATCTTTGGCCTAAAACATATCTGCAGTTAAAGAATCAAATGAGATTTGGACAAAAAAATGACAACATGCATGTAAACTGTGATTTTTGGTGTAAAGAATGGGTTCTGTGCATGACTGCTTTATAATTCCACCTTGAAAATGCACAGATCTTATTGATTTTTAAGAAAACTTCACATAAAAGTTGAACTTTCTGTTTTGACAACAAAGATGCGCGTAAAGGAAGCACTTCCAACTGAAAGACAGCAATATGCTACAAGATTTGACATCAAGTGAAAATGATGAAAAAAGTAACTTTTATATTTAATGATAACATATTATACACACAGACATAGTAAGCTTGCAAGCATTTCAAGTGTCACTGCAATTACTCTCTCCACAGCCTAGAGTTTTCAGATATTCTGATAGAATGATATCTACAGACTGAGGGAATGTGTGGAAACTGTGCAATAACAGCCACAGCGATGTCATTTTGGTTATTTGTGACCTCTTTTTTTAAACAAGAGGTCAAGCGACCTTGACATTCACCTGAAATAAGCAATATTGAATATAAAGATTAAAGCTTAGTTTTCTAGTCTCATGAAAAAGAAATTGTAACATCAATGATAGTAAGCCAGTGGCAAAACATGTATACCATCAAAATTGTCATTCATACTAATAATTCTTACAAAATTAACATTTTGCTTAAAAATGTAATTTTTCCATGAAAATAAACTTAACTTCCTCCCCAGGAAGAAATGTGAGACCTATTTGGTAATTAAAGCACCTTAAGATGCTTCCATCTATACAGAACATTTGATTCTACCATACCTAGGTGTTGAAAAGAAGATTTTTGAAATCTAAGTCAATCTGGCCCCTTTTGGCCCCATCCATTAGACCCTGGGGGGTCAGTCAGTATCAATATAGGAATAACATCAAGCCATCATACCTTGCTCATAATTCTAACAAAGTTTGAAATATTCACAATGGAAATTTAACAAATTATGCTCAAAATCTATTTTTTCTACATAAACTATAGTAAACTTTACCCTCCTCCCCACAGGGAAATGCGAGACCCTGGGACCATGACCTGCCTAACTTTGACATTGACAATGACCTACCTAACTGTTACCATTGACGATGACTTACCTAACTGTTACCATTGACGATGACTTACCTAACTGTTACCATTGACTATCACCTGCCTAACTGTTACCATTGACTACGACCTACCTAACTGTTACCATCGACAATGACTTGCCTAACTGTTACCATTGACTATGACCTGCCTAACTGTTACCATTAACTATCAACTACTTAACTGTTACTATTGACAGTGACCTGCCTAACTGTTACCTTAAACTATCACCTACCTAACTGTTACAATTGACTATGACCTGCCTAACTGATACCATTGACTATCATCTGCCTAACTGTTACATTGACAATTACCTTTCTAACTGTGACAATGACTGTCTAACTGTGACATTGACTGTCAAACTGTTACCATGGACAATGACCTGCCTAACTGTGACATTGACAATGACCTGTCTAACTGTGACATTGACAATGACCTGCCTAACTGTTACCATGGACAATGACCTGTCTAACTGTGACATTGACAATGACCTGTCTAACTGTGACATTGACAACGACCTGCCTAACTGTTACTATTGAGTAAGACCCACATATATATACCCGGTATCTATATATCAGTTTCAAGAGGAAATTCAAATCTGGATCCTTCGGATCAACAACACTAACACTACTATGTCTGATACATTGTATTATTTTATAGATGTTATGCCAATCTAACTTTATTACATTTATGCATGGAAACTATAAATATGCACATTAATTTTCATGTTCCTTATTCCAAAAGATTACACCTCCCCTTTACAACATTTAAATGTTGTAGGTGAAATAATAACAAGTAATTATTGACAAAGATTTGAAGAATTTAACAAATTTGATCTCTGATCTTAAGCGAGAGTCAAGGACATTAATTTGAACAAACTCAGAAGCCCTTAAACCTGCATGCTATAAACTACAGGCCTAATCTGGTGGTCTAGGACCCCTAGCACCTAAGGTAAACAATCTTTGGAACTGAAGAAGACATTTAAAAGACTTTACAGATCTGACCTCCACTGACCTTGAAAGTGGATCAAGATCAATCCATCCCAATATTCTGAAAGCTTAAAATCATTACCTTAAGGTGTCTTGGTTATGAAAAAGAAGTTGTTTGAAGTAAAACGTAAAAGCCAGAAAAGGGACGACGGACGCAACGCAATAGCATTCAGCTCACTTGTCCCTCAGGACAAATTGAATGTTGCACATAATCCATTATTTTATTTTACATACAAACGTGAGCTGTAATTATATAATTACCACAAACATTAGGCACCATTTGCTAGGCACACAGAGTCTATGTGAGTAGGTATACATAGCAGTCATGCCGACAGTCGTGTATATACACTGCAGGCAGACTTATTACCAGTGCTTAACACTTTATAGTTCTAACTTTGAATGATGAAAAGAATATTTTGAGAACTTGATACAACTTGAATTACATTCACTGTTTAATGTCTAGTGAGCCAATTCTCCTACTTAATTTCTCTAAAATGATAATGCTGCAATATTCTACATATTAAAACCAGCTCCCAACTTCATCACATGAAGAAATGCCAAAAAGTATTCTGAGATTTTGTCTGTCTAAGGTACTCCTTCAAATATAAGATGTAGAAGCAGTTTTCATTATATTTTTGAAAGTTTGTCAAAAAAAAATATAGTAAGAAATTATCTGTATGAAAACTGTACTGCTTGTTGGGACCAGAGGCTGCTGAGGGGTGATAAACTTACACAGTAGGTACATATTCCCCAGGGAAGCTGTCCGTTGTATAGGAAATGAGCATGCATGTTTTACCAACAGTACCATCGCCCACGACCACACATTTGATAGGTCGGCCCTGCGCCATGCTGTCCGACAAATGGTTACTTATAATCACAGACATCCGTCAAATTTCTGTCAAATCTGAAACAGATCAACAAGAAAGGAGATCATTCATATGTATGTCAGGTACGGATCTTTGGTCTATAGGACCTCCACAGAGTTCAGCAATTCAGATCTATATCACAAAGATTTCCAAGATATTTAACTAGAAAATTATTTTTGTGAAGAAAAACAATTGTTATCCTTTATTGGCAAAAACATATTAATATTTATATATCCTGTTCCTTATAAGTGATATCCTGTTCCTTATAAGTGATATATATCCTGTTCCTTATAAGTAATATATATCCTGTTCCTTATAAGTAATATATATCCTGTTCCTTATAAGTAATAAGTTAATATTTAGTTTTTTTTACATAGTTACCTCAATTTCTCTTATTAGGCCAGAGGTAAAATCTATTTTGACAAATGTCTTAAAACAAAGAATTGACAGACCAATGAATTCTAAGTACATCTACAGTCATTGCAGCCTGAGATAAGCTACAGTGTATCTCTTTTTAATTTGTTCTCCAGGAAAATATGGCAACCTGTATTACAGTGATAAATGTACAAGCAAGTCCCAAGTCCTGTACTCATAGAATTTTGATGGGATTCATAGAATTTCTGGAAATACTTGAATTTCACAGAGTGAGATCCATTGTTTTTCGCAATAAAGTTAAAAAGGAGTCATGAAAATAAATTGTTGATTGATCACTGATATATACCTTAATGATACAAACAATCATGTTTGTCAATTTATAACATGCAAAGAGAAAATCATGTGATTGAATACATATGGCAACAGTCATTAGTCTTATTTCTGTATAAACAACGTGTATGGGGAATATAAAGGAGAAATTAAGACTGACAGGGAGCTAGTCACGGATCTAGGATAAATCAATACACTAAATGACCCTAGCAGTCAACCTGCCGACCACTACTGTCCCAACACGCCATAACTTCAAATCACTCAGCATGCGTTATTGGACCAATGACATCATCGTTTCAATTATGGAACATTAAACTGTTATTTTCACAAATTTTAATTTACTGATCTTGTACTTTTTTTGAAAAATCAAATGAATATGTCCCAAAATGAAATGAATTGTGTTTCATGATCTGGAGTCATTGATCGATCTTTCTTTCACATGTCATACCAGTTATACACTACAGAGCAGTTACAGGGCAGTTAGTTCTGATCTTATAACAGATATTAATTAAAACTCGAGATCTCAACGTATACTTCAGATGTGTAAGCTATGTTCATTCATACATGTATATGCTTCAAATTAAATCTATGTTCCTAAATTGTTGTTTCCAGATCAACAAGACGGCTAAGATCAGAACATTTTTCCAAGACCAGATGCTTAAAAAAATCTACCTTCAATAGTAGTACTTAGTTAGACTGGCTACTGCTAACCCTAATTAATCGTAAGTCATACACTGTTACATTTTTTACTTGGTTATCTCCCCTTTGTATGAAACTTCAATTTCATGCATGAATTATTCAATTGGTATCCATGTATGAAGACATTTTCAGAGATTTGGATTCAATGAAAAACCTTTACTAGTACTTAATTTAGTGTTACTTTTATTGACTGCACACCAACTATGCAGCATGTTCACAAATGGAACTGGCATAGATTTCTTCCTAAGAGATGATAATAGGGATCTTTATGCAACTATGGTTGAAAGATATGCTACAGTATATTCAAAGTACCTTACTGGGTATAGGCCCATGCTCTGGAATAAGCCCATCCCTATATTTTTCAAATTTCCAGTACATCGGTTCACATTTGGAAGAATCCCATTTCTTAATTTTGAAATGTTTTATCTCCAAAGAAAAAGGCAAAAATAACATTCTTAAACAAGAGGCCCATTGGGCCTGTATTGCTCACCTTGTTTAGTTTGCTGAAATTGATTAATCTAATCTAAAGGAATAATATTTAAAATACTGATATCAATTTACAATAATAAGTCGTCTCCCTCTGCCGTGAGGGGGTTAGCAGCACTGTTAACATGATGCTTCAGATCAAATCTCAACAGAATTGAATAATTTCAACAAAAGTATATTAAAGATTTGCTCTGTTTCAACTATCAGACTGGCCCACTGTTCATACAAAACTGATCCTCTTCTCCCAAGCATGCCTCAGACCAAACTAGGACAGAATCCAGGCATTCCTACATCAGAAGAATGATTTTTTTTTTTACATAATTTGCCCTATTTCCCCTCTTCAGACTAAATTTGGACAAAATCCAATCATGACTACAGGAAGAATAGGATTTCAAATAATTTCACTCTACTGCCCTTATGGGCCCTGCCACTCCTACAGCATGCCATTACACATCATTAATACAAAATTGACTTGTCTTCACCCAAAATCTAAACATTTCTACAGGAGAAATAGGATTCTAAATAATTTGCTCTATTTTCCCTATAGAGCCCCTCCCTCCCAAGATGGCAGATCCATCATTTATACCAAATTAATTCCCCTTCTCCCAATGATGCTTCTAACTAAATTTTGTCTAAATCTGTCCTTAATGACTAGTAGTGATTTGTAGGAAAATTGATAGACAGAGGAACAAGGGGACACCCGGACGACAGAAAACTGACAATATGGAATACCCTAAGCTGACTTGGCCCTTCTGATCAGCTGAGCTAAAAACCTTGATCAATATACAGGTAATGGTTTCCAATTAGAATGAACAAATACACAGGAAGAGAAATAACTTCAGTCTCTTGGTATTTTATACACATTTCTAACCATTCAAGAGCTATGATATGTGTGAGCTCTACTCTTTTACCATTCTCATGGAGTAAGTCTAGATCAGTTGATTTCTATCTAAGAAATATATGACACCCAATTAAGATAATGTAAAGATATTAATTGTAAATTTGTTGGTGTTACAAAAACTTTGAAACAAAATGAGTGTACAGGGCTCTTGATCTGCCAGATTTGGGGCCGAATACCCAATTCAAAATAGTATCTTTTTTTCCCAATTTAAACCCCAGGTTTTCCCAATTCTAAGGAAAACGCTGCTATTTTTCCCAATTCTAAGGGCCCCGGGCCCCAGTCCCAAAATGGGGTGCGAGAACCCTGGTGTATTTTTCATAAACAATTTCTCTCTGAAAGTTTTCTTTTGAAAGTTGTCTCTGTTTTTCCTGATTCTATAATCCGCCCTCAAAAACAGCTAGACTCCTAAAAACACCAGTAACTGATGTGTCTAACAGTCTGAGGATACCAGTGTGTAGTAGTACACTGATGAAATATTGACAAGGATCCGCTGTAGTTCGTGTGACCTCTGACTTATTACCATACACTTTAGCTACATCATACCCAGCCTAGTAAGATATAGTCACTATCATTGTTTTTGACATAAATGTTACCCAGTAATTGATTCTGTAGCAAAGTCACGCCAGCATTCCACAAAAATAACCTTGACCTATAACCTCTAATGGCAGAAGTAAATTAGGAGGTAAGGCTGTGACCCCCCACCCCCTCCCTCCCACACACACACACACTAGCCTACAGAATACAACCTGTAGCACCTAAAAACAATTGGGTAATCAAGCTGAATGGCTGCCTGCCCACTTGTAATTAAAACAGACAAAATAATTAGCCTTAATGAGCTTTGATGAACCTTGAATTTGATGGTTACATTAGCCGAACCAAAACCTAAGTAACACAGTTTTTTTTATCTAATACATAATACAACATATATAACTGTAACACGGCATTATAAAGATATTTTGAAGTCCTCATATCAATTTTTTTCCTTCATACATGTATTCCTCATTGAAACGTAAACCATCATTTAACTTTATTTTTACAAGTGTCTGCTATTAGAAGGTGCAGGCACGCTTTAATTGACAGTTACATTATATCTTAATTCCTAATCTTCCATGGCTAAAATAAAACATATAAATGTTCCGGTTTTGTTACAGAAAGGCAAAAATTTACATATGAGAAACGCACCTGTTTTACCTTATATATGTTTTTATAAATGAGTATATTCTATTTCCCTGTTACAGTGAGTGTATAATTACATGCTGCTGAAAGTCCTCTACATCGTCAACAAAACAATCTCCTTGTGTATAGAAGAGATATTAACAATAGGTGTTAATCATAGTGCATCTATGTGTAAATACAGGTTACAAATTCACACCCCAATCGTATTGTACTAAAGACTGGGTGCATGGCATAGGGATGTCATATACTTACTTTTGTAATGTGTGTTTACAGTTGTGTTGAGCTCAGATTCGTACTGGTACATGTGTACAGTTGTATTGTTTACAGACTGGTACATGTGTACAGTTGTATTGTTTTCAGACAGGTACATGTGTACAGATGTATTGTTTACAGACAGGTACATGTGTACAGTTGTATTGTTTACAGACTGGTACATGTATACAGTTGTATTGTTTACAGACTGGTACATGTTTACAGTTGTATTGTTTACATACAGGTACATGTTTACAGACAGGTACATGTGTACAGTTGTATTGTTTACAGACAGGTACATGTGTACAGTTGTATTGTTTACAGACTGGTACATGTTTACAGTTGTATTGTTTACATACAGGTACATGTTTACAGACAGGTACATGTGTACAGTTGTATTGTTTTCAGACAGGTACATGTGTACAGATGTATTGTTTACAAACTGGTACATGTATACAGTTGTATTGTTTACAGACTGGTACATGTTTACAGACAGGTACATGTGTACAGTTGTATTGTTTACAGACAGGTACATGTGTACAGTTGTACTGTTTGACTGGTACATGTGTACAGTTGTATTGTTTACAGACTGATACATGTGTACAGTTGTATTGTTTACAGACTGGTACATGTGTACAGTTGTATTGTTTACAGACTGGTACATGTGTACAGTTGTATTGTTTACAGACTGGTACATGTGTACAGTTGTATTGTTTACAGACTGGTACATGTGTACAGTTGTATTGTTTACAGACTGGTACATGTGTACAGTTGTATTGTTTACAGACTGGTACATGTGTACAGTTGTATTGTTTACAG